TGGCATGGAGCCCCATGAGCATGCTGTTCTCTCCCGTTCTGACCTTTCCCACCTGCAATGGCCATCCGCCCTCACCTCCCATGCTGTTACTCCCACTGTGTGCCTTCCCTTCTTACCCCGTCTGTTAGGACAGGGATCCCTTTCATGGCGTCTCTTTGATCCAGCACCCAGCACAGGGCCAGGCACAGAGGGGCTCCCAGATCCCTGTCAAATGAGGGCCTGGAAGGACACCCTGGCACTTGAAGGGATACTCTGCTGGGAGGACTTGGCGAGTCCCTCCAGGGTTGGTGACACCTTATTGAGTTCGTGTCCCCAGCACAGAGCCTGGCACTGGTCAGGTCTCAGGGCGTATTTGTGGTCTGAAGAGTGTTAAGCTGCCCGCTAGATTTACACTTGGTGAGGGAGCAGCAGCCAGGGGAGCTAGGTAGCTGGATTGACCCTTCTGGGTGGCCATGACCTCTGGGGGTCACCTTGAGAATTGAAGTGTGGCCTGGTGCCTGCAGCACAGGCCAGTTGGGCAGCCTGAGCCATGTCTGGGGCCTGCCACTTCAGGCCGTAGCCTCGCCACCCCTCGTACTAAGGCCCTCCGAGGCTCAGGAAAACCTGCATTTGGGAGCCGGGTGTCTGTGCGTCGTTTGGTGTCAGCTCCATCCAGGAAATGTCCTCGTGCGGAAGGATCAGGAAGCCGAGCCGAGGTTGAATCCACTCATCTCCCTGTGCGACCTCGGCCGCTGTTGGTCAGTTTGCTTGACCTCGTGTCCCTTTTCCAATGACAGCTGAAACGCTCACGGGAGACGGAGGTCCAGCTGAAGCCCCTTGTGGAGAAGAACAAGCGAATGAACAAGAAGAACGAGGATTTGCTGCAGAGTATCCAGAGGATGGAGGAGAAAATCAAGAACCTCACGAGGGAAAATGTGGAGGTGGTAAGTCATAGGCCACATGGGATCGACCCCGGATTCGTGTCTCTGTCTGCGATTCTCCAGCCCCGGACCTCACAGTCCACGTTTTCCCAGGCCCACTTCCCACCTGCCTCCCCCAGGAAGCCTCGGAGCAGTCAGTGCCTAGCACCTTCCCTTCTCTCCCCAGCTCTGGAGTTTATGGTGCTGTGGGCATCTGTGCCTGTGGGCAGACAGCGGTGTCCTTAGCCACACCTCCCATTCTCTCTGACACTCAGTTTTTGTTTGTTTGTTTGTTTTTTCTTTTCTTTTTTTTTTGGATAGGTTTTTGCTACAGGGCACATGTGCTTGCCAGAGAGACAGAGAGAAACAGAGAGACAGAAAGCAAGAAATCACCCCCCAGGGGGAGTGACCATGCCACAATCCCTTCTCCTCCATTATCCTCTCGGGATCTTGGGCACGCACGCACACGTGCCCAGTGTGAGTTTAAGCCACTGGGTCCGGGACGTGAACCCTGGTCTACTACATGGGAGTCCAGCGACATAGTCATTACGCTAACTGCTGGTCCCTCTGAGCCTCAGTTTCTCCACACATGAGATGGGAATTAAATATCAATATTGCTCCATTATCAGTAGTTCGAATGATGGCCTCTAAAGACCTTCTTGAAAACTGGGCTCACAGCGGAAGGTCACGTGTGAAGGCCATCACGAATATTGCTATTGCTGCCTTGCACGTGGGTTCGCTTTTGTCCCAATAAGAATGACTGGTCTTTGCGGTCTTGATAGTTGATAGTTTCGGGTTTGTTCCAAGTGGTAATCACCCTACTCTGCAGCTCTCAGACTGAAGCACTGCTTCACAGTGGGCTCAGGAGTGAGTGTGTGTAACCCTTTGCCGTGTGGGGTCCTCTCCTGCCCCACCTTCCTCTTCCAGATTTCGAGGCTCACTGCCTTGGTCTGTGCCCACCAGATGCCTGCCACCCCTTTCTCTTGGCAGTGGGCCAGCCAGCACCACCTCGGGCCAGGTTCTGCTCTGCAGTTGGCCCTGGCCACTCCTCCAGCCTGAGGACTGGGTGGCCGTGACCGTATCCATGCCCTCGCTCACCCCTCAGCCCACACTCAGTGCCAGAGGGGTTAGCCCTGCATTATTCTCCCGGTGGCTGCAGAAGGAGAAGCTGTCTGCCCAGGCATCTCTGAAGCGCCACACCTCCCTGAACGACCTCAGCCTGACGAGGGACGAGCAGGAGATCGAGTTCCTGAGGCTGCAGGTGCTGGAGCAGCAGCACGTCATCGACGACCTGTCGCTGGTATGGCGTGGCGCTGCGTCACGGGGTGTCGGGGTGGGAGCAGGCTCAGGCAGGTCAGGGAGCGCTGCTCTGGGGACTCGCCACGCTCAGCCCGATGTGTGCATTCACACTTTATTCTACTCTAAAGCGGCCTCCGCTTCATCCGAGAGAGACCGCTGGTCCTTGGGAACAGTTTCCATGGCGACTGTATTTCTCACTTCTCCCTGGTTTGCTATGGTTAAGGAGTGGCATCGTTTTTAAGAATGAGTCTTTTGGCTTTACAAGAGCGGTATGATGTCTCTCGGAGAAGTCTTTGTTTAGTTTAGCAGTTCCAGACTGTGAGGTCGAGCCTGCAAACCTGAATCCTGTAGTCAGACCAGAATTTGAGGGCTTGTCAAGGTCGTGTGTATGGTTTCCTGGACATTTTGATGGGGTGTGCATTTGTTTAAGGGGGATGGTGAGCATGCCCTGCCTACATGGGATGCCGGATTCACCCAACCCTGCAGCTCTCTGTGGAAGGAACTTCAGCACCTGCCAGGGCACCTGCAGCAAGCTTTGGTGGGCGTGTAGAAGCAGTATGCATCTGCTTGCCCAAGGCTTGAGTATGTGGTGGTTCAATTCATGGGCCTGAAAGCGTAGGAAAGCCAGTGAGCAAAAGTTTAGAAAAGGCTTGTAATTGTCAAGTTACAAGCCTTGGGGTTGTAATTGTTAAGTTTTGTTCACTTTACCTGCCTTCTCTCCGCCTCTCCAAGCCTGCCCTTCCTTTCTTCCTTCTTTCCCTCCCTCCCCTTCTTTCCTCTCTCCCCTCCCTCCCCTCCCTTCCTTCCTCCCTTTTCTCCCTCCTTGCCTCTCCTCCCTCCCTGCCTCCCTCCTTTCCTTCTCTCTCCTCCCTGCCTCCCTCCTTCCATTCTTTCCTTCCCTCTTTCACTTCACCCTTCCATGCACTGGTCCAGGTACCCATCCATTCATCTTTGCTTCATTATATATAAGGGACTTGATGCAGCTTAGGATGAAAAAACACATTTAGTAAAACGATGATACAGTCAAAATAGTAAACCTCGTCAAGACCAGGGGCGATGAAGGTAACAGCCCAAGGTGAGGAAGGGGCCGGTAAGGCTGCAGCTGAGCCCAGATCTGTCTTTGCCCAAGGGGAAGAGGGGTCACTGGCTCCATCTGGGGCAAACGCCCTCACTCCTCTGTAGGTGCCGGTTCTGCTGACAGTAGACACCAGACACCACAGTCTCTTGTCCTTCCGAGGGCAGCGCTGCAGAGTGAGTTCTAGAAACTCTGAGAAATAAGGCCTCAGCCGGCCAGGAGGGCCCTCAGGGGTTCCGTCTGCGTTCCCTACTGGGCGTCCCCACAGGCGGGGCCTGCCAGGCCTGTCGCGAGTGTGCAGCAGCACTGCTCCGACTTCCACAGCTCTCAGCCGCACACAGGACGCACTTGTGCTTTACGGGCCCGGCAAGGCTTGGCATTCTTCCATGAACGTCTGGGTCTGTTCAAGGCCTGAGTGAGTGGGGCGGCTCTGTGGCTCCCACTTCCAAGAAGCAGCCAGCACTTGGGAGGTTAGGATCTGACTGGCCAGTGCCCCGGTGGACGGGTGGGTGCAGTGGGGCTGAGAGTGGCTCCGGTTAGAGCCAGTTGCATTGGTGGGTGAAATGTGAGGCTGGAAATGCCAACAGTTGTGCTTCTTCTAGGAAAGAGAACGGCTGCTGCGCTCCAAAAGGCATCGAGGGAAAAGCCTGAAGCCACCCAAGGTGAGCTTGCCATGGCACCCTGCCCCACTGCTCTGCCACGCCCCCAGCTGCAGGGCAGGTTGGCCATGGGAGCGGGTGGGAGAGCCGTGCACAGAGCGTCCTGCAGGCAGGGACACCTGTCTCTGCGTGTCCGATGGTGGCAGGCCTGGTATTGTCATCTCTCAAAGCAACGGGAGCTATGGCCATGCGACGCGACCCAGACACGGTTCATTCATGGGGAACGTACTGGCGGACTCTGTATTTAGGCTTCTGGGTGTATTCGCTCAAAATTAAAGATGTAAATACTTAGACTTTATGAAGGACCCACAGGTTTGAGTCATACATGTAACATCCTGTCTGAGAACTTCGCATTATTTTGGAATAACGTGGCGTTCCATTCACTTGAGGGCTGGCCCTGTCGCCTGGTGGTTAAGGAGGTCAGAAACCCATATGGCTGACTGTGAGGTTTGAGTCCTGGACTTGGGGGCTTGAGAAATGTGCATGGGTGTGCGCCCCAAATCCTGACAGGGTGGAGAAATGGAGAGAAGGGATTATGGCGTGGCCACGCCCCATCGGAGGGTGCTTTCTCCCTCCCCTTCTCTCTCTATCTCTTTGTCTCTCTCTCTCTTTAGTAAGCACATGTGCCCTCTGACAACTGAACAAAAGAAGAATTCTGTTTCCTTTGGAAAATGCAGTTCTGCCTGTTCCGTAGTGACAGTGTTTGAATGATCTGGTAGGGAGGGAGAAGACCTAGGCGTGCCGACTTTCAGGTTCACATGCCCGCAGGGAAAGCCGGACTGGGGAAGAGTAAATAAAGATAGAACCAAATCAAACCAGAATAACCTAATTTCACGGAAACCTCAGAGACGTGGGCCTCCTTTCCTCTTTAGTGAGCCAGGTGCCCCACCTGGTCTGTCTCTGATAGAGACGATTACAGAGAGGTCGCTCTTGTCTCCAGGGAAAGCAGCCATGCCATTGTGATCGCAGCAGGGACACCCGTCTCGGCGTGTTCGATGGTGTCAGGGTGACAGGAGCGAGCTGTGGGGCTGCGGCACACTGGGCCCCGGTTGCTGGCTGCCAGGCAGGGTCAGTTAGCCCAGCCTGTTGAGAGGAGGGCACATCCTTGTGTACTTGTCGCCCAGGGCGCCTTAATAAAGCCCCACAACATGGTGCTGAGCACTACAGAAACCATAGTCTACAGTGCTGGAGGCCGGAAGTCGGAAATCAGGGGGCCCACCGGGCCATGCTCATCCCCTCTCCCTCCTGAACCTCCAGAGGGACCTTTCCTGTTCTCCCCAGCTTCTGGTGGTCTCCACATGCTCCTTTCTGTCCCTCGGCTTGCAGACGCACGCCTGCAGTCTCACTCCACTGTTACACGGGGCCCTCCCGGTGTGCCCGTGTCTTCACATGGCCGCCGTCGTGCAAGGACCCCCGTCGGAAGGGTAGGAGCTAACCCCTCTCCAGTATGACTCCCTGTTGGTGTGACTGATTCCCTCCGCAATGACCCTATTTCCAAGGTCACACTCTGAGCTAGCAGGGCTAGGACTTTTTTGGGGGATGAAGGGGGCATAATTCACTTTTCAACACCTTTGTGTAAAATCTAAGGGTTTTATATGTGGTGCAGATGTCTAAAATACTATGGGCCAAATAAAATATATCTGCGAGTCCGATTCGGCCCTGGGCTGCTCCCTGTGCAGCCGTTAGGTCAGGGCCCCAGCGGCAGTCTGAGCCCACCGAAGACGTGCTGTACAGGGGCCCCTGGAGGAGTAGTTGTTTACGTGACCCCATTTAGTCCTCACAGCCACCTGTGAGATTAGCGTTATTTTTCCCCCCATTTTACAGTTATAAGAAACATGTCTATATAAACTACAGAAATAACTCAGAGAAAAAATAAATAACAGGGCTGAGAGTCAAGGCCCAAACATTTACCAGTAAACCAAGTTGAACAAAGTGCATGTCTCTCTGTTCTGACATTAGAAACTCAGAGAGTGTTGGCCAGCAGGGAGCAGGGTGGTTGAGGTGCTGGACTTCCATGTGGCTGACTGCAGTTTGAGTCCTGGACCTGGCAGCTTGTTTTCTCACTCTCTCACTCTCTCTGTCTCTCTCCAGTGAGTGCACGTGCACTTTAGCAAAATAAAATAAAATAATTCTATAGAAAACCTCAGAGATGGAAAAAAAATTGAAAAAAAAAGAAAGAAACTCAGAATTGGGAACTGGTTTGGGCAGAACTTGTTTATAGTTACATATATTTTTATAGAAGTAATGGAACCACCTTGTGGGGTATCTGGGGAATAAAAAGTGGCAGCACCCACGATACCTCCACGTTGCTGCTGGAGTTGGCATTCGCTTCCTCCTCCTCCTGCTGTAACTGCAGAATATACTCCCTCACCCTTGACTTCTAGTTAACATTATTCTACAAGCATTTATCCATGTTGTGCCATCATCATAATACACACGTTTATGGCTATGTAATCTGCTGAGTAGATGGGCCATAAATTTGTTTGCCATTCTGCAGCCACTGGGTGCGTTCGCTTCCAGCCTCTCACCATTATGATTAACGCTGCAGTGAAGGTGTGTCTGCTGACACAGGCAGCTCTTCTGGGCCAGCTCTGTTTTATTCTCCAATAGTTAAACATTTCTGTCAGTGACTCTCCGATGAGTTCCCCTTTCCCCTGTTGTTAGGCTTCCTGCTTCTCTACAAATGTTACCACAGCAGACTCTTGTTGTTCAGAAAGCGCTGTCTAGGCTGTTCTCAGGGATCCTTTCCAGAAGCTGAAATGTGGATCAGAGGGTGAGGCTTTGACCAGAGAACGTGCGCCCCCTACTGCTCTACAGAGGTGTTGCATCAGTTTGCACAGCTGCCAGTAGCCTATGCCAGTGTCATTTCCACCGGGTGACTTATGCTTAAAAAGCAAAACTGTGAATTGGTCCCATTAAGTAGCTATACTGTGACATGATACACTCCCCAAAGATTTTTCTCAGGGTTGTTGGGAAACTCATTGTTCAGCCGTGACTCTAGTTTTCAAACCTGTTATTGGAACGCCTGGAATGAAAAGGGGCTCCCCTGGGGAGTTTTTCCTGACTCCTGGATGTGTTTATGGGAAGGACTTACAGAGGATGAGAACTGCACATGGCTTGCTCCATGTGCACGTACAACCTGTGAGGCAGAGGCTGTCTCTCCTGCCCACGGTGTCCTGTCTGCCTGGCACACGGCAGCTGTCCCTGAATAGCTGCTGGTTGAGTAAGTGAATCTCCTTTACCAGGAGATGCACTTGCATGGCCTCGGACCATCCCAGAAGAATGAGGCTGTGCAGTCACTGTCACACAGACTATTCAGTGCCACTAGAGGGCTGACTTTGGGAATCCGCATGGGTATTTTCCTGAGCTGCTTCAAGGTCTTTTCCGTTCCCTATTTCCTGGACCTACCAGCATCTTTTGTTTCTCAGGATTCAGAGTAGACCAGTTTTCCTCCCATGCCTTCATTTAACCCTGACATTCTTTTTATTTTGAGAGATTTTTGCTATAGGGTGCATGTGCTCACCAGAAAGACAGAGAGAGACATAGAGACAGAAAGCGAGAAATCACCCCACAGGGGGATGGCCACGCCGCAATCCCTTCTCTTCAATTCTCCTCTTGGGATCTTGGGCACGCACGCATATGCATTGGGCGTGAGTTTAAGTCACCGGGTCCGGGACTTGAACCATGGTTGACTACATGGGAGTCCAGCAGCACAGCCGTCCTGCCAACTGCTGGGTCCCAATCCTGACATTCTGTGAGTCCAACTGGAATTTTCATTTGTATCCATCAGGTTTTTTGGTTATAAGCAGGATCTCAAGCAGATTTTTTTTTTCTTTTTTCTTTTCTTTTTTGGAGAGGTATTTTTGCTACTGGGCGCACGTGCTCACCAGAAAGACAGAGAGAGACAGAGAGGCAGAAAGTGAGAAATCACCCCCCGGGGGGATGGCCATGCCACAATCCCTTCTCCTCCATTCCCCTCTCGGGATCTTGAGCACGCACGCACATGCGCCGGGAGTGAGTTCAAGCCACCGTGTCTGGGACTTGAACTGTTGTCGAGCACATGGGAGTCCAGTGACATAGCCATTGTGCTAACTGCTGGTCCCCCACGCAGGTTTTGGATTCCCCAGGATCATCTTTCAGGACTGAGCAGCGTCCCACAGGCCCCAGGCACTCAGTGGTTTCCTTCCCCCTTTAGCGATCACTCTGCCCTCTGTCCATTACTTGTCACTTGCTCTACTGCTTTGCCTGGGGCTGTGCTTAGCAGACTATGTGCTGAAGTGTGGAAGGCGCCTGAATTTCCCTGAGGTCTGACAGTGCCACCTCTGCTCTCGGCTCCTGTCTTTCAGAAGGACCCTAGCAAGCCTCCCCGGGCTCTGTGGTTACCTCTGAAGGGGAGCTCCTCTCTTTCTGCACCCTCACCCTGGTTTGCAGGAACCGGAGTGTTAGGGCAGAGCAGTGGATGCCAGTCCCGTCTCCTAGGGGATCTTTCACATGAGCGCTGTGTGACCCTGTCTCACGAGGCCTGCTCGAGAGTCTCCTTGTCAGATTCCTTCCAGGAGCGAGACTAGTGCTGAGTCTGCCTGCCCAGGGAATGTGCGGATTGAGCGTGGGCTTGCAGTAGGACCCCCATTCCGTGAGGGAGCATGGGAGGAGGGCCCTGAGCCATTCTGTGGGTCTATCCTGGGCTCAGGGTGGGGACTTGGTCCTCCAGGGGGTCTGGCATCAGGGCCTGATGCTCTGCCCCCTGCCGTGGCGCAGCGGTGGTGGTGCTGGCCGTCGGAGACCTCTGCGTAGCAAGCACAGAGCTGTGACTTGGTGGAGCTCTGAGACTATGACTGACTGAAATCCAGCCTCTGGCTCTGGAGCTGGGACACTGGGACAGCGGTGAAGACACGGGTCCTGTGTGCCCTTGCTCACTTGCCTTTCTGGAAAGTGGGTTGAGAATTTCGGCTGAGGCTGAGAAGTGGTAGTGTGGGACTCAGACCCGGTTACTCACTGTGGGA